CTGACCTCCTTCTTGCAGTGTTCCGCTTCAGACCTGGTGGAGAGCAGGGCCAGCACTTCACTGAGTGAACAGGCAAGCGTGTTGGGGGAGGAAATGTCTAAACAACCAGCTGACACCACCTGAGCAAGTCTTCAGCATCAGTAGGTGACAGCAGGGACATCTTCCATGGGGCTTGGGTTTGGCCAGAGCATTGGGGATTTAGGTTATGTTGGCAGACAGTAGTGTCTAGAGGAAATGCATTCATCCCGAGACAGTCCTATGACATCCTGGGGTGGGGGTGGGGGCGTGGCCAGGTCACAGACAGCAAGGACGTGATCCCCAGTTCCCTAGTTTCTCTTCACCCTCCAACAACCTCCTCTTTTGCATGCCAATGAGAAGGTGTGTGCCCACACAGCAGGCAGCTCAGCTTATTCTTAGCCAGGTCTCCTCCACTCCACGGCCATTTTCAGCTGCTGAGGAATTCCTTCTTCTTGAGACTCTCTCTCCCACTCAGAATCTCTTCCTCTCTAACCACGTGACCCGATGGGTCTGCGGAGGGACCGGTCTCTTCAGTGTGGAGGCTGGAGCCTCCTGCTCTAAGAAGGGAGAAGATACTAACCTACCCATGTGACCCCAGGACTCTTGCTGGGACTAGGCAAAGTCAAAATGCAGGAAAATGAAAATGTGATTTTCAATACAGACTTTCTGGGAGGGGCACAGGAAAGTCTGCCCTCTGTATGCCTGCCTTCTGCAGCGCTCTGCTCCCAGGGCGTGGCTTACCTCTATCAGCTTGCTGCCTGGGGTCGCATTGGCCATTGTCTCAAAACCCTGGGCACACAGGAGCCCACCTTACTCCCACCAGTTTCCATCTCTGTAGCACAGGGCTCCGTTTCTGTCCCAGGCCAGCCTTGCTTTCTGAGTAGTCCTGTTGCCAACAGCTGGCATCTTTTTTTAGGGTCATGCCGGCAGCTCAGTATTTGAACCGAATGTTCTTTCCTTGTAGGCCTGGTCAGAGCTTTGGCTGGGAAGGGAAGTGAATGGCTTTGAGGCCGGAGGTTTGTGACATTCCCTTTGACTGCCTGAAATACTTTCTCCCCAAACTTCATTCTCCAAGCAGCTGCCGTCTTACCCCTCCGTCTTTCTTTCTTCCTCTTCTGTTGTCCTTACCACCCTGGCTTTCTCCATACCTATCCCAGATCTGGGGGCAGGGGGTAAAGATTGGCCTATTGAGATAGCACCCTTGAGAGCCAGGCCCACCCTTTCACAGAAGTGTAGTGAACCACTCTCCCAGACTAGGCAGCTTTAGTAGCAGGTCCCAAAGCAAGTCAGGGAAGGAGCAACAGGTGCTTAGTCATGTTGGTCTGGACTTTACCATGAAGATGCTCTACAGATGAGGCTCCTAGGACACTGGAGATAACGCCATGCTCACATAGGGGCAGATTCCAGGCCCTGATCTTGGACCCTGTGGTCCCTCTGCTTGTCATTGCCCCTCTAGGTGCCATCACAGCGAGGGAAGTGACTGTCAGAACATTAGCCTTTCTGGGGAGGTGCTGGCAAAGGGTCCACGTTCCCAAGGCTGATGAGCTGGAGACCACCTTGTACTACTCAAGGCTCCTGGCAGGCACAGAAGGCTCACTGGAGCCCCGGATTTGACAGCCAGTCCACACTGGCTAGCTGGAAGTCAGCACTCTGCTGCATTGCTGCAGTCCAGATAGTGGAGGGCTTATCTTGATGTCCAGGATCTGAATGTCATTGCTGTCATGCTGGAAGGCTCTTAGGTTCCATTCTGCCCACGCGGGCAGAAAAGGAGACAGTCACTCTGTCCCTGAGCACACTCGACACTCAAGGCAAGCATGCAATCTTCTGCAGACCAAGTATGACTATTTAAAGCAATTTCCCAAGTCTAGGACAGTTTTCAAAAGCCCATCAATGCAGTGGAGGGAGGGCTGTGGGAGTGGGAAGAAGAGCTCTCAACAGGTGGCACTGTCTTCTTCCTGTGGCCCAAGGGAAGGGGTCTTGTTCCTCGGAGTCTTAGTTTGCTTCCCTGTTGTTGGGGTAAAATGCCCTGACAAAAGCCATTTAAGGGAGAAAGGATTGACTCAGCTCATAGCTCCAGATTACAGTCCATCATGGGGGGGGGGTGAGGGGGAGAGGGGAGTCACAGCAGGAGTCTGAGGGAGCCGGGCACAGTGCATCATCTGGAACCCAGAAGCAGAGAGCAGCAAACACTTCCCGATGTTCTGTGCATGTCCTCCAGTTTAGACAGGCCAGGGGGCTTCCAGGGCACCAGTGCCACCACAGGACCCCAGTCTTCTCCCTCGCTAACTTAACCAAGATAATCCCTCATGGTGTGAGCACGTCAAGGCAGCACCCAACACCAGCCACTACAGATTCTGGATCATATTGTCCCAGGGGCCCAGGAGGCCTAAGGCCATGAGTTTTCTTTCTGAGGCTATTTCTCTAACATTTTTCTCCACAGCCTCTGACACAGAATGTACTTAGGATCTGAGAAAGGGACGAAGGACCAGGGACTCAAGCCATAGACAAGCAAGGCTCAGACCCTGTGCCATTTAAGCTGTCACGATATCCCAGCTGCTTGCACTGGCCCTTGACAGGATGCTGTCTGGCCATGGTTGCCCTGTGAAAATGTTCACTTCACAAAAGTCTTCAACTATATCCTTTCCTCTTGCTCCTAAGGCACATGGCATCATGCATCCGACCTTTGACATGGGCTGGAGGTCAGACTGAGAGCAGGTGGTGGGCTCCGAGCTTGCAGACTCTTAGATGACTGTTTTGTTATTGACGACACAGGCGTTTCTGCTGAGAAGCATTGCTTGCCTTTGTCTCACTTCCAGTCAGGTGGATAGGACAGGCCTTGGCTGCTTCCAAGCTCAGAACTCAGCAGGGTTCCAGGCAGCACCCGTTCAAGCCAGCGTGCTGTCTAACAGGATGCAGGGGAAGGGCTCTGCAGTGGGACCAGAAGGATGAAGTTGTCCTAAAGAGACACTTGTGCCCCTCCCTTCAGCTGTCAGACTCTTGAAACAATGGTACCCACAGAAATTAGAATTTGCCCAGGAGTCTCAGGCTGGAGGAAGGCAAAGGCTGAAGCCTGGTGTCACTCAGAGGTAGATCTTGGGGCTCAGAAAGTGGTTTCACAGTTTTGACGACTTGTCACACTGGAGTGTAGACGTGAGGATGGGTAGGACCACACCTTGGCCGGGACTGCTTGGTTCTGCATATCTCTTCCCCTCTATTCAAACTAAGTTCCTGGCAGGATACGGAAGAAGCTGGACATGGGGCAGGGTCATGGGTCTCCATGTTCTTCCCCATGTGGCCACACTGAAGAAATTTCCTTTCTTGCCTTTTACTCTGTTTGCCTGTTTAACTGGCCTATTGAGGCCTAGGCCAGGACTAACTTGTTAGGTCTGCCAGGGCCCAGGCTCTGACCCTAACAGCTCTCATTTCTCTCACCTTCTGTGTGAGCTCAGCTGGATGGGGTCACATTTCCAAGCCACTGTTTTCTAAAGTTTCCTTGTCTACTCTGTCAGCTTTCCCTCCCTCCTGCTGTGGCACCCCTCTGTGGAGAGAAAGTGGGGGAGGTGGGGTGGGGGAGAGCTCTGTCTCTTGCTCCAAGACTGGCCTCCTCATAGGGTACTGTGAGAAGGCTGGGCTGTGTGACTAGGTCTTGTAACAGATGGCAACAAAATTATAGTTCCTACCTGTTCTGTGCCCCCCTTCTCCCTTGGTCCAGAAGATACCATCGACATGTTATGGAGATGGCCAATAGACAGCACCTGCCTGCTGTCTCAGTGACTGTTGCCTTACCATCATGGTGACCCAGACTGGAGAGGTCAGATGAGCTCCTAAAGTCGTCTGAGAAGCCTCCTACTCTCTGCTTCCAGTCTAGGCCCGGGATGGTTTAGCTCTCAGCCGCTGTCATCCGAGCTGGAGTTTTGTGCTGTGTTGGAGGATCTTTAGCTCTCAGACTGGGAGAAACCTGCTGGGGGGACCTGTGTTCTACCGAGTGAATCAAATATCCATCCGAGTGAATCAAATATCCATCACGCATACCAGGTCGACAGAAGCCTGCTAGCCTATTGAGATGCTTCTTTGCTCCGTTTCAGCCCTGTGCAAAGATGATACCCACTGGGCCCCTGACCACTTCTGCACCAGTGTCTGAAGGCTTTGGTTGTGTTTATTTTGTCTTTGCCACGGCTGGCAATGCTGCACAGATCTCTACCTGCCTCCCGCCACCCCGGACTCTCTGCTCATCTTCCTTCCTTCAGAAAGGCACTGAGAGCAATAGAGTGTGTGGCTTTGAGCTATAGTTTTGCCTGGACATCTGGACAATGATTTTAAATATTGACATTTGGTCTGTAGAAGACTGTATGCTTGCCTTGTGTGGCTTCAATTACTGAGTGGCTTGGTCCATTAGGGTAATGCACACACACACACGCACACATACACACACGCACGCACACACAGATACACACCGCTCATACTGTGGAGAAATTATTTTATCTGCCTGCTCTGAAATTTGTACTGTCTCGATGAAAGGTAAAATTAAAAGACGTGCGTGCTAAATTTGTTCACAATTCTGAGAAGCAAGAAGGCTTTGCTGTGAAGAGCTGGGTGGCAGCTGAAACATCACAGAGGATAATGGCTTTCCATGTAGGGACGGAGTCGCTAGACTGTTGTGACTGGCATGTTTACATGTGGTGTGACTGTGTGCTCCCAAGTAGTGGGAGTGTTCGGTCATATGTGTTCAGTAAGTGTTCATACATGATGAGTGTGTGAATGATCAGTTCACATGTGGATGGTGTGAATTCATACATGGGGAGAGCATGTCCACATGTGGTAGGAGTGTGTGCTCACACAAGCTGAGTGCCGAGTTCATATGTGATGTGAGTGGTGTTGTTCACACCTGGTAGGTGTGTGCTCACACATGGTGTGACTTCATGCTCTTTCTTCGGCTTTTCCTTCGTGGGCATCGGGTAACGTGCACTGTGCCTTCCTTACAGCTGCTGGTTGATGTGGCTCTGGACTGCAGTCTACGCCTGGCCTGTGGGTGGAAGCGATTGGTCCCAAAATCTGGCGATCTCCCTCTGTGTCCTCACGTCCCAGTATCTGTGGATCCAATGAAAAGAACACGGAAGCCAGCTGTGGCGCTCATCTGTAATCCTAGCACAGAGGAAGCTGGGGCAGGAGGATCATGCGTTGGGAATATTGAACCAAAAACAAATAAAGAAGAAAAATGTCTACTATCCCCCAAAGCTCTGAATATCTGTGTGGAGTTGGCTCCCCCTAATTTAGTCTACAAGGGACTGGAAGAGGGACATGCTTCTGCCCTGCTGAGTCACTCAGAGTCCACGGTTGTTTCCACAGACACTGAGCTCCTTCGGTTCTCTTGCTTATGGACGCTCTGGGGACAGGAACACTTTGTAGTTTCTCTGGTCTTTGCAGAGTCTAGCTGATGACACAGATGCATCACCTGCTAGGGGTTACATGGGGGTAAATGAGAATGACAGAAATACGCCGTCAAGGGGCAACACAAAAGCTGTGGATTTTTTTCTTTTTTCTTTTTGGTTTTTCGAGACAGGGTCTCTCTGTAGCTTTGGTGCCCATCCCGGAACTAGATCTTGTAGACCAGGCTGGCCTTGAACTCACAGAGATCTGCCTGCCTCTGCCTCCCGAGTGCTGGGATTAAAGGCGTGCGCCACCACCGCCCAGCCTGGATTTTTTTTTCTTCATAAGGCAAAAGATGAAAGGGCTGAGATTGCATACTGTGAGGGGTCCAGCATTTGTAAATAAATACATAAATGAGATTGAGCCATGGAGAAGCTCAAAACTAAACACATGCTTAATTTTTGGCCTTGGCCATGGGTGCTGGTCAATCTATCGAAATCCACTTAGACAGCCTTTACGAAAGTTAGCAGCTACAAGTTCCCAGATAAAATCAACAGATTAGCAGATTCTTAAGAAATTAACCCAATACCCTTTATAGATGGCATTCAAAAGCATGCGGTGTATTTATTTTCAGCCCCAAGAGATATCTTGGATGCCTTTCTATCCGGTGGACTGGGTTTGAATTGAAGGTTTTATTGCGAAAACACCATGCCATGGATGTTTGAGTCTGCACATAATGGGATGGGCACCCAGCCATCACCGGCCACATTTCAATTCTGGATGTTCAAGAGATGACGTTTAGAGTGGCTCGCAGGAGTTAAGGCTGTCCTCTGAGCCGCCGACATGTCGAACTGTGGATTCCAAGTTTATGGCTGTGTTTGCCAATGTCTTCTGCGAAAGATGAATTCCTTTCCCAGACACGAGTGTGTTTGGCTGTGCAGCGCTGCTGTGCGGTGTTTTGTGGGGGAGACTTGTTTTGCTCAGACCTTGGACGGCGGGGGCAGTGGTCATATCTGTGGCGAGGAGGTTGTATTGCCACATGTCTCCTCCTCTCCTTCGCCTTCCTAGACCTGGGAGTCATAAAACCAAGGTAAACAGAGGAAAATTAGAGATGGTGTAACTTACACAGGGTGACTCAGAAAAGAGGGCCCGAGAACTCACAGGACAGGCGATGCCATGGCTGGGGCACCTAGGCATGCTTTAAAGAACACTTCCAAGACTGTGAGAGTCTTTCGGTTGTGGGGTCTGTTTTCACTCTGACTTCCATAAGCTTAAGACGCAGAAAAGATTAGCCTCTGATTGGTACCCAGCTCTCTGTGGCCCTGCCCCAGTGGGCAGGCTGAGGCGACTGACCGTAGGGCATCTGGACTGCAGCTCTAACACGGAGGAAGACTAGGACAGTGAGGTCACAAAGGGAGGGTGATGCAGAGAAAAAGACCACTTTCTCTAGACCCACAAAGCATCCTTATTCTTGGTCCACTTGTGATATTGCAACTGAATACCCAGGGCAGAGCAGCTTATAAAGAACAGAGGTTTATTTATTTACCATTCTAAGTGCTGGGGAGCTGGCGAGGAGGGCCTTCATGTGGTTCCAGCCCACGGCAGAAGGTAGAAGGACTCACCTTTCAATGTTGTCACATCCAGTGCTGAATTCCCAGCATGTGACTTGGGGTCACGCATTCACACCATACCAAGCATCACTTCCGTTAAGGTTGTCATGCCCACCCAAGCCTGGTCTTATACATGATTGCTGGGTGCCGTGGCCGTCTAGGGTTGTGAACCTCACAGTGAGCCCCTTTTCCACGTGCTCCAAGCCCTGAGCTAGATCAGGAAGTGTCTATGGTGTCCTCTCTGCTCAGTACCCCTGTCTGATGCAAGAAGAGCCAAGGTGGACTGTGAAAGGATGGAGGGGGTGGCCTTTGGCATACTTCAGACAAAAAGGATGACGCTGGATTCAGGGCTCTATGTGATCAGCGTCTTGGTTCCACTTTTTTTTTTTTTTTTTTTTTTTTTTTTTTTAAGACAGGGCTTTCTCTATGTTCCCTGGCTGTCCTGGAACTCGCTCTATAGACCAGTTTGGCGTCAAACTCAGAGATCTGCCTGCCAAGCGCTGGGGTGAAAGGCATGTACCACCACCATCCAGCTCCGTTCCGCTTTTATAAGATCAGGCTCAATGGCAAACAAGGCTGACTATGGGCCCAGATGTGAAGGAACCAGGAGACCACAGGGGCGGCTGTGGGAGCTGCCGAGTTTAAAGCTTGTGACGCTCAACCTCTGTTGTGCTCTTTCTCTTTATAGCTGTAGTTAAGACTTCAAGTGCTGTTACATAAGAGGCTGGAGGGTGGACACTTTGTCTCCCTTCTTACTTTAGAGGAGATACTGTTTTCTCCATTTACTAGAATGGGGCCTACAGGGTGTAGTAAATGCCCTTTATTATGTTGAGGTGATGTTCCCTCCATTCCTAGTTTCTTCAAAGGATAGTAAGCACTGTCAAAGGCCTTTTCTGCGTCTGCTGAGATGATTGTGTGATTTTGGTCCTTACATCTTCTTATGTGCTGGGTTCTATTTATTGATTTGTGTATCTTGAAACATCCTTGTATCTTTGAAATGAAACTGTCTTGGCCATGAGGTTATTATTATCTTTTTTGATGTGTTGTTGAATTTGGTTTAACTGGTATTTATTGACAAGTTCTATATTTGTGTCCATTAGGGAAATTTGTTTGTGTGTATGTATGTGTGTGGTATGTACATATGTTTGTGTGTATGTATGTGTGTGCTGTAGACATATGTAAATATGTATCCAAATGTGTGCATGAATATGTGGGTATGTATGTACATGCATGAATGTATGTGTGTTTGTTCACATGTGTAAGTGTTCACATTTGCTTTGGGTATCAGGCGAATGTTGGTTGCCTGGAGTGATGGAACTTCTGATGGAAGCAATGGCGAATTTGTCCTGGGTTTATGCTTTCTTTGTGGGGAGTTTTTTCTTTTTTTTAAATGACTGCTTCAGTCTCGCTGTTTTTATGGGCCTGTTGAAGTTGTTGGTATGCCCTTGGTTTAATTTTGGTAGATCACACATATCCAGAGGTTTGTTTATCTCTTCTAGACTGCCTGACTCTTTTGAAATGTGTGTTTTCAAAGTGTTCCCTAACAATTTTCTAGATTTCATTGGTGTTCAGTGAGATGTCCCTTTTTTCGTTTCTAATTTTGTTAATTTGGACCCCTCTTCATTTATGGTTATTTTGGTCGCGGTTTTATAGATCTTGTTTACTTTCTCAAAGAACCAGCTACCTGTTTCATTGGTTCTTTGCATTGTTTTTTGTCCCCCCTCTCTCTGGGATTGTTCCTTGTTCTTAGGCCTCCAAGGTGCCCCAGTCTTAAGCAATAGGCACTCTCTCAAGATGGCACTGGTCACACCCTGAGACAGAAGGAGTGATAGAGCAGATATCCTGTCCATAGCTCACTCATTAGACTGGTGGAGTCACCGTTTCACCAGAACCCGCAGCGTGCTGGTGGAGTCACCGTTTCAACTGGAGACTCATGAGAACCTGCCTTTGTCCTGAGTGTAAAGCCATCAGTCTCTCTTCAGGGCCATCTGGTTTACCTTTTGAATGACGCTTCTGCCTCGCTTCCCCGTGGCCAGGACTGGAGGTGTTCTCTGTCCCTTTGCTGTGCAGCCTTCTGTCTCTCCACACTTTGCAGCTGTCCTTCGTCCATGGTGTGACTTCCAACCTCTTCCACCCTCTTTGAGACAGTCTATGTTTTGTTAGCTAGCCCAGATTCTTTCTTATGAAGACAGCATCTAAGTGACTCTCTTACCCTGGAACTAGAAAATAAGAGATTTGTGTATTAGCTACTTTTCTCATTACTGTGGCAAAAGCAGTTTAAGGAAGAGCTTCTTTTGGCTCAGACTGAGGGTGCATGCCATCATGGCAGGGAAGTGGGTGCAGGCCATCATGGTGGGGAAGTCATATGGTAGGAGCTGAAGCCACCAATTACACCGTGTCCACCAGTCAGGAAGGAGACAGAGGTAAGGCTGGTCCCAGCTCACTTTCTTCTTTTTCTTTTCTCTTTCTTTTTTTTTTTTTTTTTTTTTTTCCAGTCTAGGATCCCAGCTCCTGGAATGGTGCTGCCCACAGTTAAGGTTAGTTTTCCCACCCCAAGTGGCCATGAGGGAACCACTCATACAGCCTTGGAGGCTTGTCCTCTTAGGTGATTTTATATACTGTCAAGCCGATAATTCATCACCATAAGGTATTATGAACAAAAAGACATGACCTAAAGCATTTGGGAGGATAGATGTGTGTTAGTTACATCTAACTCTGGTTCACTGTGAATAAGGCTTGAGACTCCTCAGATTTTGGTGTTGGAGGCAAACACTGTACATACCTTGGGATAACTGAACAGCCGAATGTGGCCAGTGGCATCCACGAGACTTGTTTTCTGGTTCTTTCCCCTTCCGTGTGCACTAGAAATGTTCATGATAAGAACCAACAGGCTCCCAGAGGGCAGCCGTCAGTCGCTGAGAGAAACCAAAACAGAGCTGAGTGGAATAGTTCCACCAGGGTGACATGAATCTAGGCCTTGGAGGGCAAGAGGAAAACACACAGCATGGGAGTGGCCACCGCAGTCTAGAGCCCTCAGGACCCTAGTCCCCATCTTGGCCTTTTCTTTATTTTCTTGCTTCTTGTGAGGCTGTGAAGGGTATGTGAGCCAGCCTAATAGCGCCTTGTAGCAAGCCTTCCCCATACCTCTTAAAGTACTGAGCATCACATGGAGGTGCTTTCTTTCTCAACAAGGCCAGCATGCTGTCAGGAGGCATGGGGGGATTGTTTTGTACAGGAGTCATGAT